CTATATATATATATATATATATATATATATATATATATATATATATATATATATATATATATATATATATAACATCATCTGATTGCCGCCTGCGCACTACAGTCAAAATAACTCCTCAAACATCGTCTGTCCTTCCATTCTGGGACAAGCTCCTCTTACAGGCAGCATAGTGCGATTAGCAATATAGTAGTATTACGTATATGTCAAAACACAATACATCTTTTTCTACGTGCTCTTACCCCGACTCCTCAAATAAAGGCACAAACGCTCAGTCTAAATATATTATTCTATGTTTAAAACCGGCCCATGACGCCTCTCCTTCTTCTCTCTGGTTCCGGCCTAACCCCCGTAACGTATAGACGTGTCTGAACTTGTTTGGACGTGATCTAAGATTTTTAGAAACAATCCTGGAAATTATTTTCGGGGAATATTAATCCATCTTTAACTATTAGAACTGTGTTGGGGAAAAATCGTAGGATTACCTTGAACCAATATTGAGAAAAAAAGAGAGAAAGAGAGAGAGATTTATTGGTGATCATTGCTTATAGCTGCGTTCCGAAATTCACTGTCAGTACTGAAAGTCTATAATTTATGTTACGTATACTATAGAATTTCAGCATTGGCAGTGAATTTCGGAACGCAGCCTATCTCTAATAATTCACATATTTCATGACGTGTTTGCTCTCTCTAGTGCATACTATCTCATCCATATTCTCTTATAACTGGGCAGTAAAGAAGTAGCATCCTGTTTCAGAGCATTATACTTAGATGGCAAGATAAAACGATAATATTTTGTTCGCACTGGTGGGGTGCGTGTCGAGATGTAATTAGTGTAAATAATTAAAAAACCCGGATAAAATGACACAAACATGGAAGCGCGTAAAGGAACAATTAGGAGTAGGTGAGGAGAATAATTTGTGTATGATTGATAACCTACTACTGCGAAATCCCGACATCCTGGGAGGTGCCCCCGAGTTCAGATAAAATTTTCATTTCATTGCCTGATGTTCGGACGGGCTGTATATATCTGTCGCATTTTTCAATGGATGTACATGTGTCGAATTTGAAGTGTTTTGTGCATAATATTTTGTATATCGTATATTTATGACACTATGTTACTGGAGTAAGTACAAATGGCGTATTTTGTATCGTTTAAAATATCCCAATAATAATGTTTTTTTACTACTAATTAAAGAATCTTTTATCATCATATGTACATAAGGAGGACAACATTATTGTACACATTTTGAAATTAATGCTGGTACTAAATAAATATCTTAAAGATAATACATATTGTTTATGAGAGAAGGATGCTGTATTATACCAAATAGTACATTGGTATAACAAAAGAACAAATTCTTACAAGTTTAAATTAGAATTTGTTAATGAATATACAAAGATATGAAAATTTGTAACTGGAATATTTGGACAAATATTGTATTTTCTAAAAAAACTATCATATTAGATTAATATAAAAACAAGTTAAAATTAAATATATTGTCTTTTTATTTTTTCATGTACTTTAGCCATCTACAATTATGCACATTCAACTCCAAAGGCAATACGCTTAACAGTTGGAGAGGTTGTACAAATAACTGAAGAGTGCACAGATTGGTACTATGGCCGCAGCAAGTCCAGGGGTATATGTGGAATCTTTCCAAAATCCTATATATATATCTTACCAAAATCAACTAATACAGATAACTTAGTACATGAAATCACCAATGTTTTAAGAGAATGGGGACATCATTGGAAACATTTATATATAGTATGTATATAAAAGTTTTATTGAATATAACAAAGTATTTGATAAGCAATCAATAATTAGTAGATATAATTAGCAGATATAATTAGTATGTGTATTTAAATCTTGGTTGGATATAACAAAAATATATTGATCTAGTTTTTAAATTATTAATTGCTTTGTTCTATGAAACGCAACTATATACAATTTATGTGTATCTAATAAAAGATAGATGTATATAGAAATGATCTTTTTGTGTATATGCAGACACACTCCGAGCATTTCAGGACAATCCAGCAACAAATTCTGAATGTAATAGGATATCGAAGCAAGATTCTAAGTGGTACTCTGACAGTGGATGAACTAAAAGACATGAAAAGACTGGCAACAGCAAAAATAGACACTGGAAATCAATTGTTGGGCTTGGACATGGTTGTACGGGATGACCATGGAAATGTTTTAAATCCTGAAGAAACAAGCACCATCCAATTGTACTATCATCATGAAACTGCTGCAGAAAGAATAAGGAAAGCATCTAATGACACCAAGAAGAAGCCTCATAAGCCACAAGTACCTGTATATTCACATATCTTTTTCGTCAGTGTGAGAAATTTTGTGTGTAAGATGGCAGAGGATGTGGAGCTGCTGTTGACATTATATGATGGTCGCGAGATGAAAGCCATTACAGAGAATTATGTTGTATCATGGAGCAAGGAAGGACTTGCGAGAGACATTGATCAGTTGCACAATCTTAGAGTATTATTCACAGATCTTGGTTCCAGAGATTTGACCAGGGATAAAGTTTATTTAGCCTGTTATGTAATTAGAGTAGGTGGTATGGAAGCCAAAGAAATAGATCATCGTCGCTCAAGCGTTGCGCACATTAATCAAAGATCCAAGAGTGCAGAGAACATGAGGAGACCATTTGGTGTAGCTGCAATGGATATTACTCTGTTTATTACTGGCAAACTCGAAGGAGATGTCGAACAACACCATTTTATACCTTTTATACAGTAAGTATTTGTATGTATTGTAAGTATCTTGACTTTAATAGAATGTATCAGCAAGATACTCATAGGTGAAAAAGATTTTTCCACAGAGTGGAAAATCACAAGATAGAATTGTTTTGTTGGTCTCCTATCTCTATTTCAGATGTTGTGAGAAAGATAGTCTTGATGGTACCCTACGTAGAATTCTCTCACAAAAAGAAACGAATGTCCAAAAGAATGTTAATGGCAATATTGGAAATGCCACAGGTGGTCAGGGATTGTGGGCTAGCCTGAAGTTGTTAAGAGGTGATCCAAAACAAGTAAGTCTTAAAACAAAATTATTGTATAATTAGGTTATAGTAAAATTATCTATTTTTAACTTTGAATACTCATATAGGTACGTGATGAAAATCCACATTTGGTACTCGGCAACGTTGCTATTGCGCGTAAAATGGGATTCCCGGAAGTTATTTTACCAGGGGATGTGCGCAACGATCTGTATCTGACTTTAATAAGTGGGGAATTTAGCAAAGGTTCTAAATCTACAGATAAAAATGTGGAAGTGACGGTTAGTAGGAAAACTGAAGATATATTTACTGCTTTTCCAATAAACATTCTGTTCGTAATATATGTTTGCATGTGATATGTCCAATAGGTTAAAGTATGTAATGAACATGGAGTAGCAATACCTGGAGTCATAACATTAGGTGGAGGTGCATCCTCGATTAACGAGTATCGTAGTGTTATTTATTATCACGAAGATAAACCTAGATGGTGTGAAACGTTTAAAATTGCCATACCCATAGAGGAATTTAAGCAAGCTCACTTAAAATTTGTATTCAAGCATCGTAGTTCTAATGAAGCAAAAGATAAATCAGAAAAACCGTTTGCTTTAAGTTATGTTAGATTAATGCAACGCAATGGAACAACTTTACAAGATATACAACATGAATTGTTGGTTTACAAATTAGATCAGAAGAAATATGATGAGAGTGACATATCATATTTAAAACTGCCATCGACACGTGGAGAATTGGTATGTTTATTTATTTATCAAAGAGTGAAGAAATTTTATATTTTTTGTTGTTTACATCATATTATAAATAAAAATTTAGTCTGTGACGACAACTTACTCGGTAAATTACGGTAAATTATTCGATAATTTTGACACGTTGGTAAAATAGTAATCTAGAAAAAAATTACAGAAATAAAATAATCTTGATATAAAGTTTATTTAGCATAAAGGAGCATTTAGCCTTTAAGATAAGTAAAACATATATGAATATTTAATTCTTATTTACTATAACATCTTTTGATACTATATATTAACGTACTATATATAGAACATATGATAATTAGGAAACTAGGTATATAGCAAATAGAAAAACTTAGAAAACATTTTTTATTAGGATTTTTAAAACAAGAGGGACAGAGATATCATAGTAGTCTTGATCTTTATTTTTTGTATCATTATATTTTACATGCTTACAGCATTTACATTTATTACCTTGCTGTTTCAGCAACTAGACTGTAGTATACAATAGAAAAATTTTAGTAGTATTTTAAGAAATGAATAATTAATACTCTAAAAAAAAAATTATAGTTTCTTTTCCCTCATCCAAAAGACATGTTAGAGATTATCAGATATACATCTTATGAAAATATAAGAAGAATGTTGCATTCTATCTTACGCATTAGTGCAGAAAACATAAGTACAGCCTATTTGTGTATGAAACTATAAAAAATAACGAGTTTGAGCAAGATCAATATCTTATTATCTTACCGTAATTTTACCGTAAATAATCGTCACTTCAAATCTGATGGTAAATTTTACATCTCTACATTATAAATGTTTTATCTTTTTTTTTAATGTTGATTTATTTTAGGTTGAGTTAAACATGGAAAAGAAGCCAAGTTTGGGATCATTAACGTTAAGCAGTAAAGATAATTTTTTGATAGCAACCAATGTTTGCTCAACTAAATTAACGCAAAATGTAGATTTGTTAGGTTTACTTAATTGGGCATCACACAATACTGATTTGAAGGAGTCATTAGCTGCTTTAATGAAAGTGGATGGAGAGGAAATAGTAAAGTTTCTGCAGGTAAAATAAATTTAACATAATCACTCATTTCTGAAAAACATTTCTGAAAATCGAACGTGATTTTATGTAATATGATGTTTATATAAAGAATAATTTCATTAAACAATATTACTTTCTAGGACGTTTTGGACGCTTTATTTAATATCTTAATGAGTAATTCAGATAGTGATGTGTACGACGATATGGTCTTTGAGTGCCTTTTATATATTATCGGCCTTGTATCCGATAGAAAGTATCAGCACTTTCAACCAGTATTAGATTTATATATTTCTGAAAGTTTCTCTGCAACTCTTGCATATAAAAAGTTAATTGCGGTATTGCGTAAACGTATAGACATCGTCAGCAATAACGACGGGCAAGAACGTGATTTACTGCTTAAGACAATGAAGAGTCTACAATATTGTATGAGATTCATTGTTGAATCTCGGCTTTTATATACTGAGTATGTTTGCATAATTTATTTGCATAATTATGCGTTATTATAAATAAAGCATTTTGTGCTTAAATCTGATGTAAATATAATTTATAAGTTTGTGATGTAGGAGAGACTTATACAATATAATTAATACACATTTCCAATTTACAGATTAAATCAGGACGAAGAAGAATTCTCACAAACATTGACTGAATTATTACAATCTATCGTTAATCTAATGAGTTATGAAACAGATGGTACGCTGTTGGTTCAAGGAGCTTGTTTAAAATATTTACCGACAACAATACCTCATTTGTTAAGAGTTTATAGTGGCAAGCAACTAAGCACAATTTTGACAGATTTACTAGTGACTTTACCAGCAGGCAGATTAACCAAGCAAAAGATGATGACTGTAAATGATATCGTTCACAGTCCACTTTTTTTGGATGTGGAATGTAGAAATATTCTATTGCCGAGAATTACCATACTCGTAAGAGACTTACTGGAAGCTAAAGAAGAGGTAAGAAAATGTGCTATTTCTTAATGCTACAATTTGCTAACTCACAGTTTAATCCATTTGGAATGTACATGTTGTTACTTATCTATATTTAAAAAAATATTAGTTAAAAAATACTCATATTTTCATGATTTCACTGAATTCTAACTATACACAATTGAATTTAATTAAACTCATAAATCATAATAATTACTTTGATAACAGGAAAGGCTTTGTTTAACTGAAACCTATTATGCTATAGAAAATCAATAAATAATATACATAATTTTCGACGATTTTAATATCTAATTAAAGAGAAGTGGATTACGTTTAGATTACATTTAAACATATTTATTTTGGAAAAAAAAAAAAAAAAAATATATATACATA